GGGTGTGCGCGTGGAAGCGGGGCCCTGTCTTTGTTGCCCCGGGGCTCCTGCGGGCGCCCCTTGTGCATTAGGTGACTGTGTAAGCTTGCACGCAAACCTTCGTGCAGGTGTGTGTCTGTGCGCGCGCGTGGTGGGGGTGCAACCCTAATACACAATGACCATCAGGATGGCAACTTCTAACAATCCCCCCACAAAAGGCAGACCGAGCCCTGGCCTGTTGCGATGCCTAATTACATCAAGGCGGGTGAATACATGGGGGCAAGCGACAAGGCTTTGGGGCTTAACTGTCTGAGTCATTACAGTAAAGCAATCATATTAAATACACAATGTTTTCTTCCATATGCAAATAGGAGCTTCCTGCAATTATCCCACTTGGGGTATTTTTCTCTGTCTTATGATGAATAATAAATACGATTCTTTGTATTAAATAATGAAAGATTGGATGACTCGTATGCACTAGTCGCTGTCCTGTTTTTCCTTTTGGTGATTTATATATATTTGTGGTTTTTAAATGGCTATATGAAAATTACATTCAGTCTGCATTAGCCATGTAACACTTTTAAATGTAAACAGAAAGGGGGAAATTATGAACCACCCAAAACAATTAAAGCAAATACAATCACAGATCGGGGTAATTAAATCATAAATGTAAGTTGCAAGGATCTTAATTACGGCCTTAAGTCACTTTATTGTGCTCCATCCTTCATTTTTATCGTCGTATGTCAGTCTTTTACTTGCTGTCATCTTTCACATCGATGTCGTTTTCAGCCTGCAAAGCTACACAGACCCTGGGATATTTTATTCAAAAGTGTATCCTTACTTTTCATTAGAGTACGCTAGAGCATGCTCACTTTCCAGGCAACTAAAATCGTGCGGCATGTTGGAAGAAAAAACAGTGTTGTATTGCACACATTTGAGCCTCACTGTAGAACAGAAAAGACTAAATCATGTACATTAAATTGCCCTCTCAATTCATATGTCAGAATAAATCTTTGATAAAGAAACTTTCAGAGTGCTGGGAATTATTTGTTCCTGTTGTAGTTAAAAAGCTTTGGGGAAGCATACGTAACAAGATTTAAAACGTCATTTTAGGAGATGGGGCGGGAAATGTTTAAAATACAAGCACAGACACACATTTACCTGGAGTACTGGTAGTAGCAGGCAACACTGTCATAGAAAAAAAATACTGTATAGCCTCCTCGTGGCTCATCCCTGCTAGCAACAAGCTAAAGGAGATACAAAAAAACCACTGCATTGCCAATCGCTTGCATTCCACGTGAATCTGAAAGGAGTAGCACAAAACCCAGCACGCATTCCTTTCCTCCTGGTATTTCTTCAAGTTTGACTGACGACACAAAATGCAATGGAATAGAAGCGAAGTGATGTATCTGGATGTCCTGCTCTGGGCTCAGCCAAGCTAGCAGCGCCACCTGTTGTTTCCACCACGGCTTTGAGAACCCGAGGGAGAGAGGTATTTGTGAAGTCGCTATTATAGTTCGGAAACGGAAGTTAAGAGGTGGGCTTACTCTACCTAGCTACGCTGGGTACCTCTGGCATGATGATGGATTAGAGTCTGAAGGGGGAGAAAGAGAGTCTGTAAGCTTTTTTGTATAGAAACTAAAACCTCATGATCAAACATTCCCAACACTTATGGGATTTTGAATCTAAATCCAGATCCAAATGTGAATTTTGTGGGCTGCTGATCCCCACCTCTCCTAATGGCCCAACCCAAAACCCTGGATCCAGACAGTCCCAAACTTTGGGATATCATAATACAGATTTCAGGTGTGAATTGTGTAACTTTCTGGTCCTTCTCTAGATTTTTATGCACAAAGCACTGGTGCCACAACCACATTTGTCTCTACTGAGATGAAGGACAGGAAATGGAAGAACAATGTGCAATAAAGTGTAGAAGCTGTAGAAACCATTTTCCTATTTAGCTAGAAGCCATCTTGTATATCAGAAACCATTTCAGCTTTTCTCTCAAGCATGTAGACCAGAGTGAACTTTCTGTCACCCCGTGAGAAAAGGCCTACAGGATGGGCTATTGGTATGTGTTAATTGGGCTGGTTGGGACAGGAGATGTACTCCCTCGCACCTGTCCACCATCTTGTTGATAAGGCTTTGTTTTTCCAAATTTAATTGAGGATTTCTGTAATTGGATGCCCTGACGTCAGACTGTTTGGCTAAGGGTATAAAGATACTAGGATTGATTGTATTAGCAGCCTTACTGGGCCCGGCTCTGCTGTGACCACGTTTGGCTCATGCTGTGCTTTATTAATTAATAAAGCTGTTTGTTAGCTGCCTAAACACAGAGGAGCGTGTTTTTGCTTTGACAAAAGACACCTAAATATATAATGGTTCAATCTTGTGTTTTCCAAAAGGCTTAGTTCTCAAGTCCAAAGTTCTCATTTCTCTCAGTTTCTCAATTTTCCCTCATAGGAAATCCTAAATATTGCAGAGAAGTAGGATTAAACCCTCTGTGTCATAACCTAATTTACCACCACTCCCTACCCACACAATATGTCATCCTTATCATCCAAAGCACATTTTTAGTGCTTTCTCTAGCTTTCTCCATAGCTCATTGCACTTTGTATGAAATTGAAAATATTCTGCAGCAGTGCAGAACAAAACAGGCTGTCATTGACAAAAGCCCCATAAACCAGAAATATGTTTTATTACTGAAAGAATAACTAAATCATTATAAATAAATATGCAAAGGATTTTAAAAAGCAGTGTTTGACAACAAAGTGGGGAGTAGTAGATTGGCAGCCTTTGTCATAGTGCATGAAGAATTATCTGCACTGACTCACACCATTCTGCACTGGATTGTAGTTGTTCTATAACTGGTGTTGCAATTATATCACAACAGGCTGTAGCTCAGACACAGCAATTTCCCCCAAGGCACATGGTCATGAAATTTTCATCATGGGTGCAGTGCAACACTTGGAAAAAATCTCAAAACATGTACTGTACTGTTTGTTTCCCATATTTCCTTCCCCAACACTGACCTTTGCCAAGATATTTCTGTGTAAATGGAGCTTTTTTATTTCTAAACTACTGCTTCCTCAATAGGTACTCCATGACATACTTGTTTACGCAGTGATATAACAACCGTTATATAGTCCTTCCTGAGGCCCTGTCTACTTTGTGTTTCTAGCCAAACACCCTTGTGTACACATAAGAACATAAGAACGGCCATACTGGGTCAGACCAAAGGTCCATCTAGCCCAGTGTCCTGTCTGCTGACAGTGGCCAATGCCAGATGCCCCAGAGGGAATGAACAGAACAGGTAATCCTCATGTGATCACTCTCCTGTCATCCATTTCCAGTCTCTGACAAACAGAGGTTAAGGACACCATTCCTACCCATCCTGGCTAATAGCCATTGATGGACCTGTCGTCCATGAATGTATCTAGTTCAATTTTGAACCCTGTTAAATTCCTGGTCTTCACAACATCCCAAGGCGTCCCACAGGCTGACTTCACGCTGCATAAAGAAAAACTTCCTTTTGTTTCTTTTAAACCCGCTACCTATTAATTTAATTTGGTGACTCTTCCTTCTTACATAGGGGAACAAGTAAATGCTTTTTCCTTATTCACTTTTTCCACATCAGTTATGATTTTATAGACCTCTATCATGCCCCCCGTAGTCTCCTATTCCTAAAATGAAAAGTCCCAGTCTCTTTAATCTCTCTTCATATGGTACCCGTTCCAAACCCCTAATCATTTTTGTTGCCCTTTTCTGAACCTTTTCCAATGACAATATATCCTTTTTGAGATAAGGCGACCACATCGGTACCCAGTATTCAAGATGTGGGCATACCATATTTTATATAGTGGCAATAAGATATTCTCTGTCTTATTCTCTATCCCTTTTTAAAATGATTTCTAACATTCTATTTGCTTTTTTGACTGCTGCTGCACACTGAGTGTACGTTTTCAGAGAACTATCCACAATGACTCCAAGATCTCTCTCTTGAGTCCCCATCATATTGTATGTATAGTTGGGATTATTTTTCCAATGTGCATTACTTTGCATTTATCAACTTTGAATTTCATTTGCCATTTTGTTGCCCAGTCACTTAGTTTGGTAAGATCTTTTTGAAGCTCTTCACAGTCTGCTTTGGTCTGACCTATCTTGAGCAGTTCAGTATCATCTACAGATTTTGTCATTTCACTGTTTACCCCTTTCTCCAGATCATTTATAACCAGGTTGAATAGGACTGGTCCCAGTTCGGACCCTTGGGGGACACCACTAGTTACCTCACTCCATTCTGAAAACTGACCATTTATTCCTACCCTTTGTTTCCTGTCTTTTAACCAGTTATCAATTCATGAGAGGACCTTCCCTCTTATCCCATGACAACTAACTTTACTTAAGAACCTTTGGTGAGGGGCCTTGTCAAAGGCTTTCAGGAAATCTAAATATACTACATCTACTGGATCCCCTTTGTCCACGTTTGTTGACCCCCTCAAAAAACTGTAGTTGATTAGTAAGACATGATTTCCCTTTACAGAAACCAAGTTGACTTTCCCCCAACAAATGACGTCCATCTATGTGTCTGATAATTTTATTCTTTACTATGGTTTCAACTAATTTGCCCAGGACTGATATTAGACTTACCGGTTTGTAATTGCCAGGATCACCTTTCGAGCCCTTTTTAAACATTGACATCACATTAGCTATCTTCCAGTAATTAGGTACAGAAGTTGATTTAAAGCATAAGTTACAAACCGCAGTTAATAGTTCCACAATTTCACGTTTGAGTTCTTTCAGAACTCTTGGGTGAATGCCACCTGGTGCCTGGTGATTTGTTATTGTTAAGTTTATCAATTTGTCCTTTTCATATGTGTTCATTTTTTTTAATTGTATCCTTTGGTATATATGGTTGTGACAATTTTCTTCCACTATTTGATCTGAGGAAGTGGGTCTGGCCCACGAAAGCTCATCATCTAATAAACCATCTTGTTAGTCTTTAAAGTGCTACATAGTCCTGTATTTTGCTTCAGCTACACCAGACTAACACGGCTACATTTCTATTACTTCCCTAGTTCCCTCGCTGCTCCAACTCGTCACACCAGTTGGGTCTTTGTTTAAGTGACTTAGGCAGCCCACCTGCTGGGCTGTGCTCACAGGCAGAGGCCAGTAGGGGTCATCCAGAGCCCAAGCACCACAACCAGCAAGGTACTGATACTACATCACAACATGTGGGTGAGTCAGTGGGAATCACACCTCACAGCGCAGGGGGACCCCGGGTTACAGAGCAGACAGCACTCCACTACGTCACAGTAGGGTCCCAACTTTGGGATGGTTTCCCTCTGCTCCAGCCCAATGTTCTCCTTCCATGAGCCTTTCACTCTTCTTAATAGCTGTCTGACTGGAGGCATGAGTGAGGCAATATGTTTTGGATTAGTCCAGTTTACCAGTTTAAAACTTACCCAGTTCCATTTGCAAATAGCATTGCATCAATGAAAATAATGGCTACACTAAAGATTTGCACTGTAGTGGTTAAAAACCCAGTGTAGACAAGGTCTTAGCCAAGCCACAGAAGAGAAGCAATGGAGTAGGAAAGGTCTTCACACTTTAGATAATGGGTTTGTTTGTCGTTTGATATATACACCTATTTCAACTTATACTAGTGAGAGTTGCCTGTACACATCACTAGTAGATGAAACCCCTCTTTCCTTGTTTGCTCTTTAAGTTCTTTTTGGTCCTACCTGTAAAATACATAGAACAGGATTACAGTCCAACAGCCTCTTCTCTGCTTGCCTGCTACATGCTCCTAGCTCAGACAGTGCAGGGATCTGGCATAGGTGGGCGGGAGGAGAGAGAACAGAGGCCAAAACCAGGATGTTCTCCCAACATGCCATAGTTTGTAGTCCAACGCTTATAGTTCCTAGGGCTGCTGTTGAAGCACACTGGACCTTGGGCTACATTTGTAAGAACTAGTGATTATAGTGGCTGTTGGAATTCTGGTGAAACACATAGTACACAGTTTTTGTACTACCTTAACTATCTCAATTTATAAACCAATATTGTTAAAGTGATACAAACCTCTGTGAACACAGTTATAAAGGTGCTTATATTATAAGCTATACTAATGCTGTTCGAAGCCAAGTCCTTGGACAGCAGTGGTAATGAAGACACAAATAGGAATAGTCAGAGCTTAATAAAAAATGACCATTTTATGGCAAGCAAGCAGCCCAGTTATATGTAGCCACT